TAATAAAAGTATTATACTTTCAAAACTTAGCTTATAAACCTGAAAAAGTATTATCTTCTATAATAATTTAGAAAATCCAAATTTTATTGATTTTAAAAATAAAATAGAAACATATATCTGTGAACAAGTTCAATTAGTTTATCAAAATACAGTATTTTTAAAAGATTATTAAATTATGATAGAAAAAATAAAAAATAATAATTGTTATTATAATTAAAGAATATAAAAAACAGTTACATTAGGTATTTATATTTAAAATATTTATTAATGAATTTATTTTTATATACTTTAATTTAAATATATTTTTAAATATTATAGGAAGAAATTTTATAATAAGAATTTAATAAAGAATCAAATAATGAAATTTATTTTGAAAAAAAATATCAAATTAAAATTACAATAATAAAGAAGACAGATAAAAATTATATATTAAAAAAAGTAAATTGGGAAGTAAATGAAATATTAGTTAGATCTTATGTGATGAAATTAAATGATAAATATGTTTGTAATATTAAAAATTATAAGTATTAAAGAAGATCGCTATTTACTTTTAAGTAATTTTGCAATAAATCTATAAGCTAAAAAAGAAATTGTTTGTATTTATAATTATTTTTTATAATTTTGATTTGTTAATTTATTTATTAATTATTTTATATATTTTTTATTATAGTTAAACAAAAATGCAAATTTAAATACCTCTTTTAATCATACTTTATTTAGTATAATGTATTTAGTAAAATAACATTAAGAATTTGTTCAAATGAAACATTAAATATTATGGATTTTTCTCAATTGATTTCAATATATTTTCAACAATTATATCAATTACCATTGTTATTTCTAACATTTTCACTACTATCACCAATATCAACAATTTTACTAACTTCTTTAATATCAAGATCACAATTACCTATATATACATCAATACCACTACTGTCATATTATAATACTTATTATTATCCTAATTATAATTCAGATTAAAAAGTTTATCACAAACTTTAGATAATAATATAAAAAAAATATATCAGATATGAAAGGTTTTTTAAAGAAATTAGATCAAAAAATTTGGAAAGAATAAATTTATTATTATTATTTGTCTGTTTTGAAGAATAAAAAATTTGTATTAGCCAACTTGTAAACTTGTAAAATTATCTGATGCTGAATATATTTCAATAAGCATAATAATTAGTCATAGGTAAATGTTATATAATAAAGTAAGAAAATACAAATTGTTTGTTTATTTTTTTTTCATTAAAATATATCGTAATATTAATAAATATAATAAATAAAAATAGAGTTTTTTTGTTTACACAAAGTATATATAAAGATATTTATCGTTTACACAAAGTATTTTTATGTGATCATGAAATAAAAAAGTATAAAAAGAACTGAAAAATGACAGGTGAGTAGGCGAGTTAAATAAGTTTTTATTTTACATCAATTTTTGAAATTTAAAATAAAACTGTATCTTTAAAAAACTTTTTTAATTTTTATAAGATCATCAAAATTAAATATATATTCTTATAAAAAAATAATAATATTAAATTATAAATTTATATTTTAATTATATTTATTAAAATTATTATATCATATATCATAAAAATTCAAAAAATTCATAATTATAAAAAATAACTAATTTATAAATAAATTAATTCTTCAAAATATTTTTTGGTGTAATTTGAGCTAATACAACTAAAAGTATATATATTGGATTAAAATAATCCATAATATCTCTATATCTATTTAACCAAGATTTAATATAGAAAGGTAGTAAGTTTTAATTGTAAAAGTGCTTTTTGTAATATTATCATATTAACGTGATTGTAAGCCTTTAACATATCTTAAAATAAGAACTAAATTATTCATTCTTATGTTAATAGTGATCAAATATTAAATTGTCTAGAATATAAATAGGTTCAAAAGTTAAATGAAATAAGATTCCTGTGAAGTTGTTTTCTTTTAAGATCTTATTTGATAAGAGAATGAAAAGTAATCATTTGTTAATAAATTTAACAAAGCTTTATAAAGGTATTCAAGTAAGATTATTAGGCAAGTATTATTAAGATCAAATTTCTATAGTTATAGTTTTGTGATAGGATATATATATGAAAGGCGGTCAGTAGAAAAGGTAAAAATCCAAATTTTGATCAAATTTTATATTATTGGACTACCTGGCTGATCTTAGTTATATGCACAAATTAGCTTAATAATTAAAATTAACAAAAATTTTAGATTTTCTTCTTTTCTATTAATTGCCTCCCATATGCCAGATTCTATCTATTTGAGATGAGAGAAAGATTGAGATAAGCATATACAAAGAACCAAAATCTTTAAAGGTTTTAGGTTCAAGATATTTTAATATTCTATTGGAACTTTTTGAGAGACTGTTAGCTTTTCTATTGGAAAGTGAATTAATAATTTGTGATCATTCATTTTCTGTTGATGCTTTCATTAAATCATTATAAAGTGAAGGATCAATATCATTATTAGCTCATAAAGGGATACTGATTCATAGAGTATCTCTAAATTATTATGCTGTAATTCAGCTGCATGTTGAAAATGTTATGCAGTTTTACATTTAATATTAACAGTTAAAGTTAAAAGACCAAGATCATTTGCAGAGTTATCAAGTCCTTTATCAAGCACAATAACTTCTTTAATCATTTTGGTTTTTATTTCATTATCTTTGATTTTTGTGATGATAGACAATATTTTAAAAAGGAACTTGATGGATGGTAATGAATTAGTAATGACATTAAGGTCCAAAGTATTAACATTTCCAAAAGTTATATTGAATGTATTAGAACCAGATTTTATTTTATTATAAAAAATAAGCCAGAAATTTTTTATGAAAAACAAATGAATAATTTGTCTTAAGAATTATTTCAATTTGAATATTAAAGAAATATTTATTTATTTAAGGCTTTAGGATGGAGGTTGTAAAAGTGATTAGCTGAGAATTTGTGTGGTAAGGTTTTTCTGCAGCTTTAATAAAGCAATTTTGCATATGATTCCAATAGAAATTCCCCAGTGTGAAGTATAAATTGTTTAGCTTAGTAATGAATCAATTTAAAAATTATTTATATTGCAAAGATTGAATTTAAAAATAATAAATTAATAAATAAAATAGGTTATATATTTATTAAAAACAATATTAATTCTAATAATTTGATTAAAATAAAGTCAGATTTTATTTTTTTTTATTTAGATCCAATGTTTATGTTTGTTTTAAAATTTAAAGATTAAAATATAATTTAAGTATTTATAAGTTTAAGTCTAAAAAGTAAAATTTATTATTGTAAAAATTAAATATATTGATAATTACTAATATTTATAATATTATTTATATTTATATTTCATATATATTTAAACAAATTTTCAATAGTTATCAAATTTGTATAAATTATTAGTTAAAATATTAGTGTTTCGGGCGAAACCATATTCTTAAATCCGAAACTTTTCGTCCAGTGAGCTTTCAGTTTTCGTCTTATATATTCGAAGGAAACACTGTAGATCAAATTGGGCTCCCGAAACATTAATACACAGTAATTAATAAAATTAAATAATAAGCTTATAAATAATTGTTGAAAGCTACAGTATTTGTTTTTTTCAATTTTAGATATTCTAATTTTAGATTATTAAAATGATGATTATTTTTTCTTGGCTTAGTCTAATTATAGTAATTCATTTAAAGTGATGAATTTGATAGGTAGATAATTTAACCTTTCTAAAGCTAATCCATAAAAGTACCTAATGCAAATATTGGAAGATTCAACCTATCGACATGCGATGTTTATCTTCTAATACTTGCACATGATAACACGGTTATTTATATATGAAATATCTTGAGATAAAACTTGTGTTTTTGACCTTATAATTTGAACTCTTTAGTTTTGGTAGTAATTTTTTTTAAAAACCATTTATTTTAAATTTATATTACTGCGAACTTTAAAATAGAAAATTTTCAACCAACCAATTATTTTTCGGGATAAATTTTGTTATTTTCTTTTCCACTTTTCCATAGTCATTGAATTCAACATTCCAAAGATTCGTAGTCAATGTTCACTATAAAGAACCAATAACGGCATCATAATATGTTTAATTGTGCGCAGCGAACCTTATTTTGCATGATTTTATTCTCTTTTTTTGTTATTTCGGAAAAAGATTAATGGTGTTCTTTTTTATATGCTAGATAAAGATTACCTAGGAGAATACGTCTTGCAGCGGTTGTTGAAAATGAATCAATATTTTCCATTTAACTAGAGAGCTACTTTCATATTAAATTTTTTTTATAAGCGCCTCTTGCAAAAAATAATGAAAAACAAACCAAATTTAGAAAATTTTCATAGAATTTAGAATGGTGAAGAAATTACAAAAACTTAAAATATAATATATATTGTCATAATTTACTATTTAATAATATAGTTGAGATATAAATAGTAAAGAAATGATTAATTTTGCATTTGACCGAATTTTAAGTTTCAAAATGATACCAGTCGAGTCAAGTTTGTTAATAATAAAATTGAATATATATAACTAATATGCTGCATAAAAAATTATTGGATCATATATACAAAATACCGGCCACTTAAATTCCGTATAGTGATTTTGCCAAGAAATTAAATTAAAATGCAGTTTAATAATTAAAAATACATTACTTGAAACGAGTGTGATCGACATTACACATGCTGTTTATTGCTTCTTTTTTTTTTTTGATTGTTGTGAAACCTTTAAATCGATCTCGAAAAAATTGAATCTGTACAAAGTGCAGTTTCTGGTATCGCTCTCATGTTCTAATTAGTACTACTACAAAAATAATTTCCGATACATAAATTTGAGGGATTGGTCACAGCAGACAAATATTTACATGATCCAAATATTCATAAGATCATCACAACGTCACATAAATAAAGATGCGGAGTACTCAGTCCAAAAAAATATATAAAGCTCCTAAATATCCTTTTTCTAAACAAATCGGTCTCTTAAAATTTAAATAAAAAATGCTATCCTTACAAGCAAAGAACGGTGATAATACCACGGATTTATTCTTCAGTGGTGATGAATTCTCCTTTGAATCGAAGAATAAAAATGGTGGTAATAAGCACTTTCCTCATTTTTATTTTTTTTTTTTATTTTGTATTTTAATTTTTTTTTTATCATTTATTATTAAGTTACAAAGATATCGGCTAGGTACATACTTTCAGTTTATCTTGATAAATCAAAAGGCATTCGAATTATAATAAAGGCGCTAATTCCACAGGGAAAATTAGTATTGAAGTTGAATACCTTTTCTTTTGATGTTTTTGATGAAGAAGTTGCTAAATTATGGGTCGAAAACGTAAATGTTATTGTATATAAAGGTAAGATTAGAATTATAACGATGTAAGGTTTCTTCTATATTAACATTTTTTTGTCTTTTTGCTTTTTTGCTTTAGATGCGAAAAAAGAGAAGAAACTCAAGATATTCATTAATCCTTTTGGCGGATCTGGTAGGGCAGTGAAAATCTTCAACCAATTCGTTAAACCGATATTTGATGCAGCAAGGTGCAAATGTGACATTACTTGTTAGTATAGCTATTTTTAATTTCCCCCTTAAAATTAAGGGGTTAAATTAGATGATCAAGTAACCTTTTTAATGTTTACTTACTAAACATAACCCGTTCATCATTTTACAGTAACTGAATATTCGAACCATGCCAAAGAAATTGTAAAAGATTTAGATTTAAAAGAATATGATGCTATAATTACGGCGAGTGGTGATGGAATCGTTCACGAAGTCGTCAACGGTCTCTTATCACGTGATGACGCACTCGACATCAATATACCAATAGGGGTAATTCCCACAGGTAAATTCCATCCGAATTTATTATATTAGATTTTTATCATTGTTAACGTGTTCCAATTTTGTAGGTAGCGGAAATGGGCTAAGTTTTTGTCTCTTAGGAAATGACCACGGCAATAGCGTGTCTCATGCCACTCTAAACGTCATCAAAGGTATTCATTTGAACATTACATCTTTATTGATCTGTTTTTTTTTTATTAATAATAAAAACAAATTTTATGTTCATTTAGGCGTTCCAATGAAAATTGATGTGTGTTCAGTGACACAGGGAAATCAAAGATATTATTCTTTCATGTCAATAAATTATGGTGTTATTGCAGATTGCGATTTATCAACGGAACATTTGAGGTATTTCATCTTTCCGAAAGGTTTATCACGTCAATAATTTCTATTCGTTTACTTGATTCATTTTATTGTAGATTTATGAAGGATTTTCGGTTCGTGGTTGGTGCCTTACAAGCATTATTAGCAAATCGAAGATATGGTTGTGAGATAGCTGTGAAAATTGTCGATGAAAATATTGAGAAAATTAAACAAGGATATCGTAAAGCATATGATACATCAACATCATGTATCGAAGACGATCGAGATAAATCAGGGGGGATTAAGGACAAGTTTGGCAGCGTAAATGATCCGATCCCATCAGATTGGACCGTGTTGAATGATGATGTATATATATTCATCGCAGGCAAGATCCCATGGATATCCAAAGGACAAATTGTATTTCCTTATGCGTTACCATCTGATGGACTCTTAGATTTAATGGTCGTTAATTCTGATAAAGTATCAAGAATGAAAGTTGCAAGTATATTGACCTCATTTGATGAATCATCTCATATTAACATGAAGGAGGTATGTTTTATTTTATTTTTTTCACGCTTCATATTCGAAAATGTGAGATTATTTATGTTTACTTTTTTTTTACATCATTGAAAGGTTAATTATTATAAAGTAGCGGCGTTGCGATTAACCCCCAAAAACAAAAATATTGGATACATTAGCATTGATGGAGAGAGAGTTCCATTTGAACCATTTCAAGTTGAAGTACATCCTAAATTAATCAATGTACTAAGTATAGACGGGAAATACGCTCCAACAAACTTTTAATTCTAGTATAATTATTCAAAGATGATGTATATTTTAGATCAAGTATATATAAACCTGAAATCATTCTTGTAGATGAGTAAATAAATATTAACCATATTTGTCGTTGAATGCGACAATCTCTTTCCTTAAATGGATCAATTAAACACGCGAAAGGACAAATTAAAAGCGTATAGATCAACGACATTTTCCCACACCCCTCAATAATAATTTAAGTAATTAAAATAAATGTATATTTTTGTTTCTTATTAAAATTTATTTAAAAATACATAACTTGTTAGATAATCAACTTTATGCAACATGTCTTCGTCATAATCTATATAAATTCCAAAGAACACATAAGCCGGACTATCTATTTGTATCCCAATGATTTCATCAAATAAAAGGAATGGTTTGATAATAATAGTCCAGAAAAAGTACATGACTTCATAAAAACCCTTGACGTCATAACACTCACCATCATAATAAATTTCAAATATCATGATAAAAGTATCGATGAACATTACGGTGGATAAAAATGATAATTGTAAGATGAAGTAATAACAAAAAGCTCCAACGAGGACGAAAGAGTAAAGGATTGGAACGACCATTATTAAATAAAATTCTTTATATGATAAATCACAAAATATGTGTTTGAAATTATTATAAGCCATCCCGGTAAACCCGATTAGGAATTGTAACATCACCAAGAAAAACCCAAACACGTATCCATAAGGTACTATTATTAGAAAGAAGGTTAAAATGAGTATAGACAAGTCGAAGAAGCGGATCATCCTTTGAAAGATTAGTTGTAAAATATTGAATTTATAATGTCGAGCTTTTTCCGAGATTTTTATGGAATTGAAATGCCAAAAGGATTTGATGAATGATATGGACTCCTTGAATGGTTTAAACAATAACGAATCAATCAACAATTCATAAATGGAATCATTATTACGAAAGAATTTATAAATTAAATAAATTAAAGCTGTTGTTGATGAAAGTGAATGAACCGGATATTCCGGCCTTTTTATAACCGTTACAATCGGAACGACAAAAGTGATGAAAATGCTATAACCAATGAAAAGTAAGATGCAAGTAGGGATGTAAAAAATAATTATCACTGGCGAAAGGAAGAATAAATAAATCCTTATCCTTAAATCTAGTTCATTTTCCGTGAAAATAAAATGGTAAAGTTGGTAGATTGATGGAAAATACCATATCAGTATCGTTATTAAATTTGGGATTAGACACAATATATAAATTGGTATGAAGTTTAATATCAATTCAAGTAAAATTAATGTTGAAAGAAAAACAAACTTTAAGATCATCATTTAAAAAAAAAAATTTAAAAGGAATGTTGGTTGAACTTTAAAAAAAAAAAAAAACTGATGATTAAAAGCAATATTTTTGTAACACCGTAATACAGATCACTATCCTAAACGGTTGATAATTGCACGTTTGAAAAGCGGTTTAGTTTAAAGAAGAATATTTCTGCGGAACCACTTTTGTCTTCCTTAAAAATATTTAAAAATATTTCAAGGCAGAATTAATGAAAAGATTCTAATCCTAATATGGAGAATAAATCTGCTATTGTTGTTGAATTAAATACCAAATGTAATATAAATAAAAATAATCGACACAATAATAACAATAAACTTATTCATACCAAAATCCGGTTTCTGTTTTTGAAAGTTACTTTCTTAAAAAGATGATTATAAATAATATAAATTTATTAAAATTTGAAATTTACATAAACGCCATCTCATATGAATTTCTTCGTATTGGAAAGTAATACAATAGTAGAGACAATACAAATAATGATCGACCGTTGCATAAAAGAAAACAAAGAAAACAATTTCATTTGACAATAATAACATTCGATTCACTTTTTTTTTTAAAAAAAAATGACTTTAATAATTCTAAAATTTTCATTTCTTGCAATATTGATTCTTATTGAATTCATATTTTATTTTTTACCAGTATTTATATTATGCCTAATCCCAAATCTGTTTACAACACTAATTTGGTGTTTTCCTTCAATATACCAGTTATATTCGTTTGTTCATTTTTCAAAAAAATATGACTTAAGAGAAAGGGTTTATTCTTTTTTAGCTTTTCCTGTCATCGTAATTCTATACATCCCATTTTGCATGTTGTTATTTTTTGTATATTGTATTCTTATCACACTCATATTCCCATTAATTACAATTATACAAAGACCGGATTATCCATTTTACTCAATTTCTTCCGTGGCGGCTATCATTCACTTATTCTATCAATTACTTGAGAATAAATCTACGGTTGAATTAAAGGATTCTCCAATTTTAAGGTCTTTTAATAGTGTTTTGAATTTTACAAGAGCTTATTGGAATTTTTGTTCCAATAGAATTACAGAGAAAAATCAATTACACAAATTATATCTTTATGAATTCATTTTTACTAAACTTATCATCTCATTTGATTCCTTTATAATTTTATTATTTTTTGTTTTAATAATTATACCATATTTATTCATAGCCACCTTTTTTGCAATAATTAAATATATATCGGTTATATCATTGAGGGTATTTAATTATTTTGTTAAAGAAAATTTATTCAATAAATTTATATATATCGTGATATCAATCTCCACTCCTATCATGGCTTTATTTATTGGCATAATTATTTGTTCCATTTTCACTCTTAAATTTACTTGTTTTATCATAACTACCGTTAGTATATTTTTTAATATGCTTAAAATATATAGAATCGAAGGCTTTTATAATGTTATTTGTTTCTTCTTAATCATTATCATTAAGATATCCCTATTAATTTATAATGAGGATACTTATTCATTTAATTACCATATTTGTCATATTAATACTTATTTATATGAACTTTTTTATGTTTGTTTTGGGATAAATATTAATGAAAATATTCTTTACAAGGCAAATTATGTAGTTGGATTGTTTCTATAATTTACTTATTGTATTTAAGTATTGGTCTTCTCGGTAGATTACATATATATTTTGTAAATTTTATTCCTTTCAAAATAGACGTTCATTTATTTATAGTAAATATTTGTAGATATTTCTGATTCAAATTATTAAATTATTACAAATAAAATATTGCAAATGCAAGAATTATCTCAAAAAAAAAAAAATAAAGTGATTGAAATGTTTCAACAATTATATCCGCATTTATCATACCTTCATATAAATTAGATTATTTAATCATGGATGAATGCATTGTTATTTAAATATTGATTTAGAATGATCTTATAATAATAGTTCGTTTTTATTCATCTTGCTGGCTAAACAATGCATGCGGTCCGATACGCGAATTTTACATACTATAAAGCAATTTACATATCTATTGATTTAGAAAGAAATGTTTAGAAATAAATATTTACTAAAATGATATAATTATTTAGATGTTTAGTATATTTTGTGATTTTATTCAACTTTATAAATTTTGGCAAATATTTTTAGTATAATACATATTAAACGTACTTTTCTTATTTTTATTTTTAATTTAAATATCCATTATGGCATTAAAATTATTAAAACAGAAGACCAAGTTGCAAATATATTTTTTTGACAAATGGTATAATAATATTATAAACTTTACATTCAAAGTTCAAAAAAGACTTATATTAATTATTAACATTATAAGAAAATATAATTATTTGTCTATAGTCAATCTGTTTTTAAAATATTTTCTAAAATCTCTTAATTAACTGGCTTTGAAATTATCATAAAACATCACATTAATCAATTTTATTTTATTACTAATACTAGAATTGTATAAATTGTATAAAAAAATATCTTACTAAAAGTCAAAATATATTTATTAATAAATTTTCAAAATATATATGATATATGTTAGTTAGAGTGAAATAAATAATCAGGATTGTGCATATATATTCTTAAATATCTTATTTTATTATAAACTCCTTTCCAAAGTAAGTAATGAGTAACAAACATATTGAATGCTATTACTGATAAAATAAGGTTCAACTAAATCAAATTTATTCATCCGCTTGTTCCCATAATTATTTTTAAAAAAAAATCACTAATGAATCGTTGCTAAATATCAATCAAAAGCGACTATATTTTTGGTGCTTCAATTCATCTTTTTTTTTCGTCATCAGATTTAATCCTTTTTGGTTTTAGTTTCTTACGTGTGATATATAGTATAAATAATTAGTTCTAATAATCACTTAAATTCTTGATATATATTGAAAACTTACCATTTCAAATAATATATTCATTAATTTAATGAATTTTTTTATTTTAGTATCTTCATCTTGTATTGCATAGACACTTCTCAATATATTTAGAAATATATCGTCTTTGGAAATAGCCATTTGCACAATTCGTTTTAACTCCTTTTCTGAAGATTCTAATTGATTCATTATATCTAAAACAAGATCCGTCAATTCGTCAAGTTTCGAATCTACTAACTCTCTTTTTTCATTCGCTGTTGAGGCTAATCTCTTTGTAAGTTCAGAATCAAAATTATTTCTTATTTCCATCAACTTATTATATTCTTCTTGGACATCTTGAACGCCTATTAAAAAGACACAAAGAAAAACTTGAGTTACTCTTAATCATTATTATTGGACAATGTCAATTAAACTCACCTAGGCATATAGCCACTTCCAAGGATAGAGTTGATATCCTTTGTAACGTTTCATCATTCCATCTTCCGTGTTGTTGGGTGATTGCATGCGCATTATGGTCCCCCGCTTCGATTTTGAAAAATTTAAATAGCTCGCATGGATTTAATCTGTATCGTCCATGAAATAATGTTTGGTCGGATTGACCAGTTATGAACAAGCTATTGTTTTTTATAAAAAAATTTAGGAGACCTCTCAAGTCAATGTCAGAAAGATTGGACAGACGCCGAGGATAGCATGTCTTCACAAATGATTCTACATTTTCATAAGGTATATTTTTTTCGTGTTTCTTTACAAATTTCATAAGAGCTTTTTCAACATGTACGAGTATCGGCTCTACGAACGCACCCTGTTCTGATTCTGAAAATGAAAATCTCTGTGGAATTTGTAGTTGATGGCTTTTCTCTTTATTTTCCTGCTTTAATTCCAAATCTCTTCCCATTTTGATTTCCAGATCTACTTCTTGTCCTATCTCTGGATCCTTCACAATAAGAGTTTCATTATGTTCTACTTTCTGCTCGTCCACCACATTTCTCCTTTCTTGAAACTCTTTCTTAATCTCATCATTTGATAGGCCACCAATCGCGTGTTGTATGACACTAGAAAAAAATATTGCTCTCTTAAAATTACTTAAGAATTTTTCGTTAATTTGTAAATTCTTTTCGTTTATATTCTTTTTCTTATTATCATTACGCCATGTATTTAATATTGGCTTATATTCTTCTTGAAGATCTTTATTTCTATGCAATAAATCTTTTAAGGTATTGCGCAACACATTTGTTTGTTCACTTGCGACAGTTTTTTTATTTATAGGAGGGTCCAACAAAAGTAAAGCTTTAATTGTTTCGTCTAAAGTATTTCTAATACTGATATTGAGATTATTCTTTATCCACTTTGAAAGTTTAACCATGGTGAAGATAAAAAATTTTCAATATGTATTCCAAAAGGCTTGCCAATAAAATTCGAGAATAAATTACTGCTGAGAGTTTGATAATCCATTAAATTCATTAATTTTGTTTCTAATTTTCATAACACGTGACATTTTGTCGGGTCCACCGTAGTCTAGAATTACCGAAACCGAAAAGCATTTACCTAGAATCTGAGAAATACATAAAATGACAAGTTAGTTGTACTCGCTCTTCATCTGCAAATGCTAAATATAAGAAAATATAATTGAACAAAAAAGATATATTACGACTGAACGGTTAAATCTATTTTAATATTCTTGTTTCACAAATCAGTTGTATAGTTTTTTTTTACAAATTGCAGGTGCCCAGTTAGCGGCATGTGGAAAAAGGCAGTCAAATCAGTTCTGTTACATCCAGAGTTGGATTTGGACATATATGATGTCCAATTGGCCATATATAAGTTTATATGTCCAATAGATAAATGTCCAACACTGGTTACATCACTACACAAATTACGAATTCGATTCTTAGCCCGAGTATGCTTGATGAAAAACTTATAAAACTAGATGAGATTTGTTACTATGTTCATCATCTGAACGAGAACTAATAATAATATGCTTATTTTTTTTTTTGGTGTATTGAATATTAAATTTTATCTATGTATGCCTAACCATTGAACTTGAATCTTCAAAATGGACGCGCACATACTTTTCTATTTTTCTGAGGTGCAAACACTAATACTCATTTTCGTTCCAGGGTTTCCGAAGACCTTATTAACATTTAGAAGGTAAATAAAATGGGTAATATGCTATTAAAATTGAGGTACGAGATATATAGTAAATCATATGATCCGTACCTCAATTTTAATATTAAGGTTAATTATTAGCCGTTAGTTTATTCATGATTTTATCCTATCCAGAACTGAATCAGAGTTTAATGCACATACCGTAAAGCGTTCTGTATAGTACCCTCCTATATATAGTACCCTCCCCCCTTTTCAGACGGGCTAGAATGTATAATATCTGGGGTATTATAAACCACGAATTTTGCTACTCGCTGTATAGTACCCGGGTACTAATATCGTAATATTAATAAATTGAACAATCACACGATTACATTGAAAATATTATTTAAAATAAAGTTTCATAAAAGCAATTTCTTTATTTTATTATTCATTTAACAAGCAGCTTTATTATATATTCATTAAAACATATGCCTAATGCTTAATTCCATGGATTTTCATAATTTTCTATATCATCGCTATACATATTTTCGTCAATTAAGATTTCTTCTTCAACAGGTTCATTTTCAACATTATCTTTTAACAAATCATAAT